AGTGTACAAAATATTTTAGTTTGGCGGACACTGTATACTTGTAATGTTATTTCCGCTCCATATAGTGACTCTCTATACAGTGTTAATTCTGTATAGTGGCCAAAATTTTACCATTTTTGGCTATATTTTACTATTTTTACGCTCTTTATAGTGTTTAATGGTATGAGACAACTATATTTTGTCTTGCAATTATTTAAAATGATGAAGTTTTATTTAAATTGATAAACAAATATGAACTTATTACCTCGAAAACATTAAACAATCTAAATAAATGATTATTTTAGTATTAACAGTATAATATACACTTATACACTTATTGTCACTACTATTACACACACATTCTATAGAGTGATCATTCTATACAGTGTCCAAAAATGTATACCAACTGCTCGACCACTATATGGAATGTTCACTGTACTTGGTAACATGATTGTAGCCCTAAAAACTAGTATTCCTACTAAATTCTAGTTAAATATATTTATCCAATTGTTATAACAAAAAGCACAAAAAAATTAACCTACCACATTTCTACCCCATAGTCCATCATTCTCTCCATACACGCTGTCCAACGACGAGAAGGTGTTATCATCGGTAAAACTGATCCAATCGTTTAGTGGCGTAACCAAGTGCGAGGTGGACGACATATACCGGTTCACATTGACCGTGCGCAAAAACTACCGCGCCGTGCCCTATCACAATTGGACACATGGGTATAGCGTGGCCCAGACTATATACCGGCTAACGTGGGAGTGTGATCATTTTTGTCCCCTGGAAAAGTTCTCATTTTTTGTGGCGGGCCTGTGCCACGATCTAGATCATCGGGGCACTAATAATCAGTTCTTAGTCACTTCTTGCGCATCATTGGCCGCCCTGTACTCCACCAGCCCTCTAGAGTATCATCATTTCAATCAAACAGTGTCTATACTCCAGGTATGTGTAGTTTTGTTGTGTTTATGGGTTATAGTCTATACGGTTGTTTTGTGGTATCTATTGGTATCTAGCTTTGAACCACTGTTTTGTAATTCATGTACTATTCATATATTATTCATATATAGTGTACATTAATATTTTTACATTTATTTGTTTACAATTATTTGTGCAATAAGTATGAATACATTTTAAATNACATTAATATTTTTACATTTATTTGTTTACAATTATTTGTGCAATAAGTATGAATACATTTTAAATTTATAATATAATATAGGGTAGGTGATTAATGTAAAAATAGTAACATTTACTTTGAATAATAGTTGGAAAGTTATTTTGGTGAATCAATAACAACGTCATTATAAAATCCCCCCCTTATTATCAAACAACGCTTCTGGTTATAGTTTAGTTTTTTCTAGTTTAATTTAGACTGTAAATTAGTTTATATGTGTTTGTTTGTACAATGCAAACATGGTAGTAATAGTTATAATTGGCCGGTACATCTTCAGTCATGCTGACTTTTTGCTAAAACATATAAAACAAATTAACTAACTAATTAGTGTTAATTTATTACGTACTTTAATTTTATCAGTAATAAATTATCACGGTTATAATTTATAAGTTATATAGAAACAAAAAATATAATTAATTAAATTAAAAGATTATGGTGGGATCTGATCGCCGTGTGGGTAATGCCATTTGCCAACCAAACCCTTGCGGATTTAATTAGTAGCTAGATTATTGTAGCAAACAGTATCATCATGTCCCTATGTATTAGTAAAATAAATTAGTGGTAATTTCATTTATATACCCTTCACATGATTACTAATTACGAGTATACAGTCACTAAAGTTTAAAATTTTAATTTAGTTGTAGTTATTTTATAAATTTATATATATTATTTACTGATCATAATATATATATTATTCTATAACTTATTATATGTATAAAGTTTAATTTGTTTTAAGAGGTGGTTATTTTAATGATTATAATTATATTTTAATTAAATAAATACAATATGAATTAAATTGCAATGTAATACACTCACAGCCAATAGATGGCTATAATGTACAGTATGTTCAGTACAACTCAAGCGCTATAATCAATAGAAAAGTTTAATTTATAATTAAGTTACATTGATATTAATTACAACTAATAAATAATTAAATTATTGTTTTAATTGAATTAAAAGCAAAACGGAATGAATATATTGAAAAACATGTCGTCGGAGGACTACAAGACAGTGTTGGCCAACATTAAGCACTACATATTGGCCACAGATATGGCCAAGTTTTTTGGCACAAGCAAAAAGCTAAACACACAGGCTACTAATGGCACGTTTAACTGGGCCAACCCTGAGCATAAGTAAGTGTGGTCAAATTATTTAATGCCTGTTAATCTCTATTAAATTGTTATATCAAATCTCCATTAAAATGTCATAACCAATTGTTTAAGTTGCATTAGTTTTTGTATTATATATTAATTACAGTTTTAAGTCATGTAGAGTATGCTTGAATTTACTGTACTTGTCATTGATTTTATTGATAACATTAACTTGCTAAATACACTATTAATTTACAATGTAAACTAGTAACATGCAAACGTTACAATTTATTACTTAAATTAGACTATTCTTAAACTAATGTAATTATTAAACACAATCTAATTAAAGATTTATAAAATAAATTTAATAATTAAAAAGTTAAAAATAAATGGTCTAACTCAAATCAAAACTAATATGTAATTAACACATCCATAGATTACTGCTGTCATCGTTGGCAATGAATGGGGCGGACCTGAACTCAACGGCGCTGCCCTGGGCGGAGGCGCGGCTAAAGACCAAGGAGCTTTTTGACGAGTTTTACGCCATGGGTGATAGTGAGAGACAGGCGGGTCGGGAGCCCATAGCGCTAATGGATAGGCTTAAACTCGACGAACAGCCCCGCACTCAAGTCGAGTTCCTCGAGAACGTGTCCATACCGTGTCTAAAGTTGGTCAATCAGTTTTTGCCTGAGGCCCAACCCTACCTTGATCACTCGTTGTAAGTATAGTGTGTTTTCTACATTGTTATTACTTTTATTTTAACTTTATATATCGAAATTCATTATTACTGATCAGGTTAGAACTATTATATTGAATTATGAACTATAAAGCAAAAATAAGTATAGTTAAAACATAGTTAAAATAGTTATAGCAAGTCAGCATATTGGCTCAACTAATAAAATCAAATATAACTTTGTTGTAATGTAACAATAATGTAACCTGGCAACAAATTAAATTTAATTGTAGATTTTTGACATAAGTTAACTTATTTTATTTATAATTTTTAATTGTTAAATTAAACAAAGATTAATTTAATAGATTATTTAATTCTACAATAATCCAGCAAGAACATTTACAATATAAATGTTTATAATATTTTATGGATATCAATTAAAATTAGATAATTGATAAATAATATAAAGAATCTTGAATATATGACAAACATATTGTAAACCTCTCCAATTGATCAATTTCTTATTATTTTTATATATAAATTTATTACTCTGATTATGACAAATTTACAGTTTTACATGAAATAATTTATCTTGTTATTGGTTTAATTGAAAATTATAATGATAGCATCTCCACGAGAAATATTTATTATTATTCTGAATTTAATTATTACTATTAAATGCAAATATTTTATTTTATTAAAATATTATTTAAAGCCATTTACTTTTGTACATTAAATAGATGAAATTAACTTAATTAATATTCAGTTTAAATTAACATAAATACTAACCCAATATATATTATATTTAGTGAAAACCTAGATCATTGGCGTGAATTAATGAAGGAGTCAGAGAAAAAGCGAGCTTGTTTGATCAGGATGAATGCTGAGGACATGGAGAGCCCGGTGTCTATGCCAAAGATTGGAGGAGTCGAGAAGGCCAAGTCATTTAGGCTGTAAATTCATTATTATGAATATATTTCATTATGGTTTGAAAAATAAATTATTTGGCTAATAATTTATCAAGTGTAATTATTGAATATAATGATATTTAAGTCAAAAACATATCTTATTATGTTTATGTTAATTATAATTAAATAATATGTTTAATTATATATAATAATAAATCCACGTTTTAAATGACCAGGGCGATATATATAGTAAAAATTATACGCTGTGTTAAAAGAAAAAATTTTCCATGATCAATAATGAAGCTGTGTGATATTTTTTACAATGATTCAAATGGTGCCCCTGGTCAGGTTTTAATGGATATATAATACAATTAAATTATAAATATATTTATAAAATCTATTACTTGTGTAAATGATTATTAATCATTGATTAAACATTAATATGTTTATAATTTATATCATGTTATAATTATATAATTAATTTTTCATAAAGTTTAACAAACCAAACACTTTATAAAATACTTATAAATATTTCATAATTATTAATGTTATTATAAAATATTATTATTATTTATTAATTTTTAATAATTAAGCAAAATAATCAAAACTAAAGCTTATTTTCTATTACATTAAAAACATTATTGTATTTATTATAAAAATACATATATTTTACTAATAATTAATAAAATAATAATTACTTATAATAAAACTTATGATACTTTATAATATTAATTTAAAAATTAAAACTTCATAAATAACATTCTTTACAAATAAATTATAGTTAAAAAAAACTCAACTTATCTATATTATAATTTTTTAATCAAAGCATAGCATTTTTAATTTAAAACATCTAAAAATAATAAATAAATAAATTAAAGAGTTTGGAAATATTGTATAAATTAATAAAATTACAACAAATTTTAAACCAAAAGAAAATTTATTTACAAACCATTTTATTATAATAAATACAAATAAATTAATTAATAATGAAATTTAACATAGGGGCAGGGTTAGTTAAATGGAATGTAATTAATAATCAGGTAATTGTAATTTATATTAATTTGTAAAAGGCATCAAGGTGGTATTTGATGCTTAGCTTCTAGCTTAACCCTGGAGCTTTTTCTTGTGAAATAGTACTGACATGGCGTCCATGATGGCCATGTGAATAGATGCTCGTTTATCACCCATGTCCAGATCTGAACTTAGTACCGGGGCCTTGACAGTGTCGCACTTGGCCACGTCGATCAAAGGGTTGAGCTTGCGCAAGTAATTGGACACACTGTGTACCACACCCTCAAACATGGCCAAAACATGGGAGAACAGGTCCTCGGGAAGTACGCGCCCGGTGGCATCGATGTAGTTTACGTAGTAACTATGTAGGGTTATTTTAGTTATATATTAATGCTTGCCATTTGCAAGTTTTTAATGCTTTACAAATGTTAGATAAATTTTTAGTAAACTAATGTAGCATTAGTTAAATATTTATGATTTACTTGTAAATACCAATATGAATCTGGGTAACTATATTAATACTATACTATGTATTGTATATGTAATAGTTTACAGTTTAATTTAATACTTTTGATTTACATTTAATATGATTAAAAACACTAACTGGTTAGATCAATAATAAACTAGGTAAAGTTTGCAAACTAAGAAAATTATTATTGTCGTCTATTTGAAGCATTGTCAATCATGTTTTTAAAAGTATTACATAAAATACTACTTATATACATATAAAGTATAAATCATTTTGCAACAAACAAAACACAAAATACCAGTGAAGTGTAACAATGTCCGAGGTGCCATTATCCGCTTGCTGTGCCATTATGGTGAACGCATTAATCAATTTTTCGCGATAGGGTGCGATTTCACTAGCTCGTTTGTTTATCGCACGCATAAAACGCAGCGAGTTCAGTTTGCTGTTGGTGTTGGTGCATACCTGGTTAAAATACCGTAACATTTCCACCACGTACAGCCGGTATATGGTGGGCAGTTCCGGCACTTCACGGTACGTGTCCACCACGTAATCCATTATGTATAGCAATTGGGACTTGTATTGGCTATATTTTAATTAACTACTTGGTTAATTTTCCCAAAAATCACCTTGATTACACATCACCTGCATATCTCCTTTTCCAGGCCCACCATCGACACAGGCCAGGGTCGGCTCGCGTCACCCGTGCGCTCATAACTGGCTATAATGTAGTCAATTTCATCGGTGCTATATTTGTCGTCAAATAGGCATGTGCTGCCACCAAATAATATGGCACCTTAGTTGGGATTAATTTTTTGGATTAATTATAACTGATGGATGTGGTTTACATTTACTTACTGATTAAAAATATAATTGCCTTATTAATAGTAGCCATTTTGGTAAATACGATAATAATTAAATGAAGTTATACTATTAATGATAATAGTATAACATATGGATTTTTAATTAATATGTTTTATTAATTATTAATTGAATTAGTATTGGCAATGCTGTCTATGAGTAGTTTATGTAAAATAAATTTAGCGACAATTTGAATTAAGTAACAATGTGAGTTTTACTAATTTTGTTCATTTTAGATTATATTTATATTATTAATACCGATATAAATAGTGATTCGACTGATATTAATCAAAACACTTATATAAAGTCAATGATTAACTTAAAATTTGTACCTGACACGATTTGACAAATAATTGTTATTTTATTTGCATGGTAAAATTATGCCAGTTAGTCGTATATTCCAATTAGTCAAAACTTGTAAATGTTTACTTATATTTTGCATTAATATTGTATAAAGTTACAGTTTTATAGTAACACAATAAACTCACAAAAAAGTGTGTTATTTAGTAACATATGATTTAACATAACCCAAAATTTATATAATTTATGTGATGGGAATTGATTTAAAATAAACTATATCCTCGCGTACTTAACCCATGCTATACTATTTCAAAATTTTTAAATTAAAGTAATTTATTATTTAATACTTATTTACAGTTTAACGTTGTGTCGCTATTAAAAAATCTTAAGAAAGTAACCCTATTGTTATATATAATAGCAGTTCAACGAAAAGAATTGTGTGGTAAACAAAACCTCCGGATTTACCTTGATTACAATTACAGGACAAGGAAAAGCTCAACCTGACCACAAATTGCAATGATAAAACATACAATAACTATATCATGCTAATAATTGTATGTTCTAATTATTTTTCAAAAATTACTAAAATCATTTAAGTAAATAATACACAAGAGAATAATTGTCTATATTTATAACAAAAATACTATTATAATCATCAATTATTTTGTTGCCATCAATAAATTTAATAATAATAAAGTAAATATTACTGTAAATTATATTATTTTAATCTTGTTAAACCTAATTTATTAATTAAAATCTAAATAATAAAATATTTAAAATATCAATCGACAAAACAATGATCTGCAAGGAAATATAACTTTATCATGAAAACGCGGTTGGTAAAGTATATTTTAAAAATTAAATTATTACATATTAAGTCATAAAATTACAAAAATTAATTAAGTAAACATTATTTTATATGGCTTGGCCAAGGTATGGAGCTGTGACGCGTTGGGATCGGGCAACAATATATCGGGCGTACAATAGTGTGGCGCCAATACAACAGGGTGACTATTAGTTAGCTGCAAAAATCTGACCATAAATAAAAATTGGGTGTTGAATGCAAAATAATTGCCGGCACACATGCGTCTACCCGTGCCAAATGGCATAAACGCTTTCGGCTTAAATTCACCGCAACAACCATGATTGTCTAGAAAACGGGCAGGGTTAAATTCTCCCCCATTATCCCAATGAGTGTCCGACCGAAGCATATTGTAGTTGTCATAAACAAGGAATGTGCCTTTAGGTACGGTGTGCTTCCCTATAAAATACAATTAATAACATTTACGTTATATTTTATAAATTAAAACTATAAACTTAAACTTTTGTTGTAATATAAACCTATTGACCATA